TTTTTTTTTTTTGGGGGGGGGGGGGACAAAAAATGGCTCTTCTATGGCATTGCTGTGAAAACTCCCTTTTTGAACCTTTATTTTTAAATGTTGAATTGCAATACAAAAGAAACATGTTTTTCATTACAAATAAGCACTTTAGGATACCATAACTTGCCAAATTATGTAAACTGGCTTTTGAAAGCTCATACATTATATTTAGACATGTTTAGAATCATGGTTTCATTAGCACTTTTTTATCTTTAATGTGACATACAATTGATTTTGTAAAGTGCGTTTGCTGATTCTGGTTTAAACCTGCTAGGAAACCACTATAAGAACGAAAGCCAATGACTGAGGTCTTTTTATTATACTACTGTGACACCAGAGGCGTTCATTTTTCGTGGTTGAGCACATTTCTACATCGCGAGAAGTCATTTGAAAGTTTAGATATTATTTTTATAGATGGCTTAATGCGTAACTGGATACTGAAAAGTCATTGTCTCGAGTTTTTAACCAGTTCCTTCATAGTTTTATTTTTTGTTTCATTAATTCCGAATGTTTTTGTGATATCACAGTGTTTGCTGTTTGTACATGTAAGAAGGAAGTGAGAGAAATTATTTATTTTTATACAGTATTCATGCAAATGTTGTCTTTAGGGGCAAAATCAACAGTCAGGCATATAGGGAGGTAGGATGAAGCCTGAAAATGCAGCTGAAATTATTTCATTGATGTTTTGGGTTCTGTCATACATTTGAAGTCGGCAGATTTTTTTTGTGTGTGTGTGTATTATGTGCTGTTTAATATACAGAGAAACAAGGACAGTACATGCATGCTAATTTAATCTGCATATTTGAGAAAAGCAACTTTTTATGAGTAAAGCGCTCAGTATATAGCTTGTCACTCCAGCCAGTGTGTCTGTCCAGTGTTTGACTGTACTGAACAATAAAACCTGTTACTAGGCAAATGCCTGCTTGTGAGTTTTATGTGCATTTGCAACTTTTAAATGTAAGTCCTAACTCTTCTGTTAACTTTTTAAATATTATGCATAAGTGATCAGCATGTATGGAGTTTTCTTACAGCATCATAAGTTAGCCCAGTAAATTCCCCTAGTTTCAGGGTATGGCATGTATTAGTCATACTGGTTTGTGTTGGTGTTGGAAACACTTCCTGTTTTTGGTCCAAAAACACCAAAAGGGTTGATGACGACCTGCTTAATTCAATTATTTAGACCTAATGCAAAGTTTTTTTTTTCTCTCTTAAGTTAGAGCTCTATAAGATGACCACAGTCATTTATTGTAATCACTTGCTGCTCGTGTATAACAACACAAGGCAGATGGGGACACTTTAGATGCATCTAACAAGCTCAGGTGAAGGCAAACCACATTATGTGCAGTGCAGAACTGTGAAGAAAGCGCCACACATTTGTAAGCGTGTGCAATGTAAACTATTCATTGGTATTGCTTGAAAGTTAGTTTGTCAAATAGTTTTTGCAACTTGTGTGTCAACGGAGTCTTTTATTTGGAATGACAAATAAACATTAAAATTGTTGATCAAATTTGTACTTTAACTTGGTAAGATTTAAAAAAGAAAAAAAAAGAAAAAAGAAAAACGCTCACCAAGACAGCATTTCTTTAATTTAAAAACAAGGGAAAAAAAGTGAAATATCACAGTTAAAAGTAACTTTTTATTTGAATATATTTTAAAATTCATTTTATTTCTGGGATTGCAAAGCTGAATTTTCAGCATCATTACTTCAGTCTCAGAGTCACAAGATCCTTTGGAAATAATTCTAATATGCTGATTTGCCACTCAAGAACAGCATTTATTTGAAATAGAAATCAATGGTAACATTGTAAGCATCTTTACTGTCATTTTACCGCTTTGATTAACTAAACACATGCTTGCTGAATATAATTACTTTAAAAAGACACTAGCATACACCAGTTTTATTAGATCAAACAAGCATTTAAATCGAAATAAAACGAAATACTTATTACAGGGAATGCACAGCAGATCCAGCCCATAATGCATTTATTAAGATACAGAAGTGCAGCTGGCATGTTATCGCTTATTCTGTCTCCCTCTAGTGGATAAAACAAGCCTCGACATAATTCGCCTACTACAGCGTGCCAATCTCTGTTTTCAATGTTCGTTAATACTCCGTTATGGTATTACTTCCCTCGCCGTTTTACTTTCAGGAACTACAGACACTGAAAAGAATACGACTTTATTGTGTTTATGTTGGTCCATATATAATACCAATAGGCATTAACACAGCAACCACACAACATAGTAAAGCAATTCGGTGCGGATGTAGAATAACAGAGATTCAGGACCCAACATTCCAAAACAAACCGCGGGTAAGAAATAATAATTTTTAAAAAGGCAGGAATTTGACACGGGAATCTCAGATGCGCTAGTTCTTGCCTTCTGTGTTGGGTTCCAAGAGCAAAATCCAGTTCCTGAAAGGTGATCCGCTGTGTGCTATTTAATAAAAGAAACATAAAAGGCGATGGTGCGTTTATTTTTAACCGGTGATAAAAGCAACAAAGCTGTGATTACTCTGAACACAAGGCCAGCTCTGTGCTTTCCGTGAAAACCCAGGAGGAGGATGTCCTCCTTCTCTGGAGAGAGCCACACCACACTCGCCCGATTCAATACTGAACTCAAGACATCATAGTTCCAGAACACCCTGCTTTAACAGATTCAGATTAATTAAAACATTACTTAATATCTTTAAGCAGAAAACTATATTTGCCAAAGTCATTATCGTTTGGTGCTATCAAGTGATCTTTTCTGGCTTTGGCAAGTTTCATCAAAAGGAATTCTCTTCTGTCCTTCCATTCATTCAGCTCCTCATCTCCATGTGCCAGCTTACAAAGCTCCTCCTCCGTGCAGGTGCCCTTGAGGAACCTGGAGCGAATCGAAACCAATCCGTTAGCGACAGCTGTTAACTGTTAATGAGATACGAGTAGCGTCATACATTAGCGTTAGACTGACCGTTCGCAAACTCTGAAGGTTCCTGTGGGGAAGCGATACTGCCAGCAGTTCTGATCGTCCTCGGAGTTGAACACTCGTTCTTTGTGCTTCTCGGAGGTGATATGCTGCTGCCACTGTTTATCACTGTTGCAGTTCTTCCCACACAACCAGCAATGGTTGCCAGCCTGATAAAACAGCATTTAGAGAAAAGGAATGTTCAGTCACTTTTAGAAAAGAAAATGTGTAATATATATATATATATATATATATCAATATCACACTTACATGTATTTGACCAAGAACATAGTACAATATTAATATTATGAAATATATAATTTAAAAAAAAAAATATTTTCTATGTGAATATATGTTAAAATGTAATTTATTCCCGAGTTGCAAAGCTGAATTTTCAGCATCATTACTCCAGTCTTCAGTGCCGCATGATCCTTCAGAAATCATACTAATATACTCATTTGCTGATCAAGAAACATCTTAGTGTTGAAAACTGTTGTGATGCTTAATATTTTTGTGGAAACCCGTAATGCATTTTTTTCCAGGATTATTTGATGACTAGAAAGTTCAAAAGAACTGCATTTATTTGAAACACAAATCTTTTGTAACATTAATTAATCAAAAGTGACAGTAAAGCAAATAATTGATCCTTGCCAAAAAAAAATACAAAATTCATAAAATCTTGCTGATCCCAAATTTTTGAATGATAGTGTATATTCATAATTTCTTTTTTGAATAAATTCTATTAGTCATTAACAAACATTATATAAATACTCGAAGCATTATTAGTTAATGAACATTCAAATATTGATGAAAACTTCATTTAAAATGGCTATGTACTGCATAATGTACCATATGTTTTAAATATATTAACACAAATTATAAGCTAAACATGAACCACCTCATGTTTTTTTCAGAGTCTGTATGCTGCAATTTACTTTTTGCTCATGAATATTCATTGCATTATTTGACATCTGGCCCAGTAGGCCAAACTCACTGCCTGAAATACAGATGTTGAGTTGGAGAGTGTTTGTTAATCAGCTGGCGAACTAACATGATTCATGGATATTTATTAAGTTACGACACAATGCTCCCAGTAAGGTTACCAAGCAATATCTGTATTTCGCCATTAATATTCACTCACTATACTCTACCTTATTCATTTTACATACGGGATGCGTTTAGTGTTTAAACAGCTAGAGGGAGCACAACGCACTGGAACACATTGCAGAGCTCGAGATGCATTTTTAAGTGGAACAATTTTTACTTGAAACACCAAACTGTAGTCCAAGACAGAGCAGAACAGACAAAAGCATGCAAACATGAGATAAAACAGAGCCCTGAGTGTGTGTGCTGTTCTTGGCAGTCAGCGTTTTGTAATTTTCTTGCCTGTGTGTAGAGGACACTCTAAGATAGAGCAAGGTTGTGTCAGAGTAAGAAGAGCGTGATAATGATGTGTGGAAATATGAATGCTGCTCAAGTTTTCATACCACTTCCTCAGCGTAGTCCGTGGGCATGTGAATCTGTTTGCCGTTCTCTCGTGTAGCGCTGCTGCTGCTGTTCTCCTCGCTCCAGCCCGGCTTCTGAGACTGCAGCCACATTTCATACAGCTGCTCCATGTCTGCAACTACATACACAAACACAAGGGATACATGATACATCAGTCACAACATCAGTATCTGTCAGCACTAGGGGTGTGCGATATTGACAAAAAAGAATATCTCTCTCTGTCGGTGCCGATAGCCTTGTGGGCAGCGCGCTGACATATGGTGCAGCTGCGCTTCGGGTGTCCCGAGATCGATTCCCACCTCGTGGACCTCTCTCCCATTCACTTCCTGTCATATCTATACGGTCCTGTCATAGAAAAATGCAAAAACGCCAAAAAAAAAAAACACAACTATTTTGTGGGATTTAGAAATTAATCTTTTCCAATAAGTTTAAACTTATTTTTACATTTTATGGGCATTTTGTACCTTTATAAAGCCATTTTTTTCTAAAAGTGTCCATTATCTTTGGAGTCAAATTCTTACATTTAATCAGTAAATTAGAATAATTTGGGCTATTACCAGGCAAATTAAATCAACACAGAAGCTGCATCTGAAGTGGAATTGAGATGTATTTACACACTGTTTAATGCAAGACATGAATGCATTTAACCTGCAGTTACAAATGCATAAATAAACGTTTGATATATTAAACATAAAACGTTGAATACTGATATTTGAAATTATTTAAAAAATAAAAGATACTTTTAATGTGAAATTAAAACCGCCAGTAGGTGGCAGCAAGTCACTGTTAATAAGTGAGTCACTGAACCGAATCATTTAAACGATTGATTCATTCAGGAGTGAAACACCGTCATGTTGCTCAGAGATGCAAAACAGCGCTGTGGCTTTGTTTGGAATTATTTTTGTTGTCGAAATACAGCAAAAACAGGCAATATAGTGTCTAAAACGTAAGTCTCTTGATTAACTTCTTGTTTAGTGAACTGTTGTAAAAAATCTATATCACATTTGTAATCATGGTAATAATTGGAGAAAAACGGCACTCTTCGTGTGAAATTGATTAACTATACGAAATGGTATAAATATATACATGTTCTGCCATCATGTCTTGAATTTGTGATCATTCTAAATGCATTTTAATAAACTGAATCATGCAGTGAAAGAACGCACTCTAAATGCGCGCGCACTAGTCTAGACTTCACGTAATGTATGCGTGCGCTCTGTAGGGATGCTTGGAATGGTTTCTGCAAAATACTCGATAATGTCAAATCGCACATCGTTAAAACAACAATTACGATATTATCGCAGAC